CCCCAAAACCCCAAAACCCCAAAACCCCAAAACCCCTCTTAAGAGTTCCTCCTTTCTTAATCTGATTGGAATCTTCCCTCTGGTAGCTGCCCAAGTTTGGTAAGAATTTTATGAAGAGATTGTCCTCATGACTGGAAACCAAGCTTGATTTGGCGAAGTAAGACTGGAGACTTGATGAAGAATAGAGGATTTAATAGGAATTATTCTAGCTAATTGTGTTGTTAATCTTTGGGTCTGGCTCAGAGGGATCTCTGAGGGGGTCCTGTGCTTGGTTTCTCGATTCGGAGGTTTGATTTGGGAGAGGAGGAACTGAGGTTGGTGGTGGAAGATTGGAGGGTTGAGAGGAGTTTAGATTTAGAAGCACAAGTTTGTTATCGTGGATTCTAATGGAATCAACCATTGAAGAGTAACTGTTATCAAATATTTTCTTCACTTTTGAAGCTTGCTTTCGAGATAGCTCGATATAGTAATCGTCCTTGGCTAAAGTATAAATAAGAAACAAGACTCTTAAAATTAAAAGTCAAAATTTTTGACTAACTCCTAAACTCATACTCGTCAATAACCCTTATTCTATCTCAAACCCTTCACATGACCCATCCCTGGCTTTATTACCTCTATTATCAGCTGAGGACTCATTTCTTGCCATCAAATACATATGTTTATTCTTCTTGTTCTTCAGTATCTCTATATTATAAAGACTTCCTTTATCATCTGAGCTTTTCATTCAGACCTCTTGTCTATACAATAGCTTGATCTTCCTCCTGCGACGCCTAGGAGCAGTCCTTTCCCTTAAGTGAGGTATATGCATCTGATCATCTCTTGAGTTTATCTGAAGAGTTGAGGTCAGCTTAGATCCACATCTCTGGTTAGACCGGGTTGAGAAATCCATCCTAGAACGCTTTGTGCTGTTCAACCGATGATTTGGCAATCTTAAGTGTGGAGAGACACTTCTGTTGTTATGAAACCGAGGATTATGCATCTGGTAAGGAAATTCACAAATGTTCTTTAAAATCTTCCTTCTCTGCTTATTGTCCTTCTTCCATTCCTTTACACTGTAGTTTGAAGTACGTTGTTGAAGCCGACGAAGGATATGTTGGTTTTCATAGTTTATTTTTAGTTTCTGAGTTTGTCTATTATTGTAATGACTTGAGACTAGCTCCTAAAGATTGGTTGCTAATTGTTACCTTCTTTGCTGCTCTCGATATCTTTTTAATCTTACTAGGCTTTGAATAAATAAGAGTCATTTTCTCCATAAGAATTCTATTCTCTCTTTCAATTTCTGTGTAACGGTCTATGGAATTAATTATGATTGTTTCATACCTTCTGTTTGCTGTCCTTTCTTGTAATTTTGTCTAATATGTTTAAATCTTAAAGGAGTTTTTGAGTCTAATCAAGATTTGACCATTTTAAGTTTATTCTCATGAAGTTTCTGCTCAATCTCTTCCCATTTCTTCGATAATAACTTGTTCAGGGTTGGTTTGGCTCTGTACATTTTTGAAATATATTTTAAGAATATTTAATTAAAATACATTGGGGTTTTGGGGTTTTGGGGTTTTGGGGG